GTCTCAGTATAATTTCTGGCTTTAAAACCACTAATATTAGGCTTCACACATTTGTATTTATACTTTATGTGTAAGGGCTGAAGTATTCTTTTTTTGATAAATAATGTTGGACAAAAAGCATTTATTAATGCAGAAAATGTATGTATGAGTGATGTGTGTTGTTCTCTGGGGTAAGCTTTTGTTTTCAGTAGTATGTGGCTGTAATAAACATGAGATGCTTGAGAAAATAGAACCTGTTGATTTTCAAAGCTCAAAAACCCGAGATTGATTAGAGAAAGTTCCATATGAAAAAGGTTATTGTCAGTTATTACTTTCAGTTCCCTTCAGTGCACATTTTTGAAAATAAGTGATTTCAGTATCTATTTGATGTTGTGAAGTTCACTCAAAGTTAAGAACATTGTAAGTCTATGTTTATTTCACTAACATGCTAAAGTTTTTCATATCTGATTTTTATTTTCCATCTTCTAATAAGTTGATGAATACTGTAAGAGTACTTTAGAAGCTACAAGTACAAAAGAGAAAATTTAAAACACGAACCTAAAATACATTGCTATTTTGTAAATAAAGCCACTTTATTGTTAAACAAGATGTTAAACACCCTGGCTAATAGCAAGAGAAAACACATTTACACAATATAGTTTGCATCTGTAAATTAAATGACAGGATTGTTAGAGTGCTAAATACTGTGTATATTTCCATGAACACAAAAGAGGTTTTAAAGAGAACAGGGTAACACACACACATGCACACACACACACAAACACACATTCTGACCATCACTTCAAAGTCTGGAAACGTTTGCATCTCTACATCTCCAATGATTTGTTCTGTTTTTCTAACTGTTGTATGTGACAGAAATGTATGCAGAATACAATACAAATTGCTCTTGCTCTTTCTGTTTTTCCTGTGGCGCTCACTGTATGGCATGGAAGTTAACCTTCCACATATGAAGACTGACAACTTACATATAAAAAGCATACTAACTTTTACAAAGTGTAAGAGAAAAATATTGTCCCGACTTGTTAACTAGATCATGGAACCTAGTCAGCTGGCGGCTGCAGGTTTTGACAGGTGTTTCTGGCTACAGTGCTGCTGTGTGGGGTGCACCAGGACTGCCTGTCGCTCCGATGCCAAGGAGCAGAGCAGGGTGCCGATGGCACTTAGCGCTGTGACGGTCCGCCAGCTGGGTCCATCTCTCCAACTGGAAGACTGCTGTCTTCAAAAGTTCGGTTTGGATACTCCTTTCATTTATGTTTACAAAAAACCCACAGCCAAATGCCTCGTTTTCCCATCTGTGCCATATTAGACATCTGCACAAACTTGGCCCTTGTTTGCACATCACCATGACAGCTTGTCGATTTGTTGCATCAACTTTCACAGACCACTTGTCAAGATATGGTTCTCAACGAAAAGTCTCCTTACCTGTATTTCTAAGAAGCTCTTTGTCTTTGGATATATGACTCATAAACTGGATACACTTCAAGACCTTAAGAAACGGATTTATAGCATGTAGCTTTCGGAAAGTCTATTTATTATGAACATTCTTTTGGTTATTTAATTTGCCAAAGTTTAAGTACCTTCTCCCCACCATTACATTACTTGTTGTAAACAGTATCTAATTGCACTAATTTTCTATGGGGTTTACAAATTACACAACATAATTTTAGGTGGAAATTCTTAAGGATGAGACTTTTTTCCCTAAGCCATTTTATAAAATCTTACTAAAAAGCATTCAAAAGGGGAAACATATATAAATATTTGCATAAATATTTTTACTTCAGTGCTGTCCTGTCTCATATCTTTTCTATCCACAAACTCTTTCCTCACCCTTCTCCTGTACCAGCCGCTGTTGTTATTATTATTAGCTCACTACTTCTTTACTGAAGGTCAGCAATGACTTCCCACTTGCCAGTGCCATCTGATTCAGAAGCACTTGACATGATTGACCACACCTTCTTTTTTCCTATTAGTTTCTATGACATCTTGGAGCGCTGACTCTTATTTAACCTTTACTAATCTTTCTTAGTGTATTTTCCTAATTCCATTCCTCTCCTCACATTTAGAGGTTGACATTTTCAATGCTCTGTCTCTATCTTTTCTGCTATCTTACTTTCTTTCTGGATTTTTCATGCCCTTGTCATAAGATCACATACAGTGTGTAGTTTGTCTCCAACCCATATTCTAAACTCAGGAAATGATGAACTTCCAACTAAACACGGTATGTAGTACATGTACCATGACTTCCTCAGTATTTAAAAATATCCCCAGATAAAGGAAAGTTAATCATCATCACGAAGCCCTTATTATATAAGATGTTAAAGAGACATATCTAAGAAAAAGAAGATGACCAAAAATATGAACAGTTAAATGAAAACAAACTCACAACTATCAACAACTGAACCTAAAAACAAAAACAAAAAACAAATGAAGCAAGAATCACAGAAATGAAAATCACGTGGAGAGTTATCAGATCACATGGGAGGGGAGGAGAATGGAAGAAAAAGGTACAGGGAATAAGAAGCATAAACAGTAGATACAAAATAGACAGGGAGGTGTTAAGATTAGTATGGGAAATGGAGAAGACAAATTACTTATATGCATGATCCATGGACATGAACTAAGGTTGGGGGGATGCTGGTAGGAGGGGCATTGAAGGGAGGGAAATAAAGGGGAGAAAAAGTAAGACATCTGTGATAGCAAAACCAATAAAATATACTTTAAAACATAGAAAAATATTTTATATAATACTCTAGCATATATTGTATATTCAATTAATTTTTAGTTCTCTTACTTCCTTCTGTGATGGTTTATAATTGTGGCTGAAATAATTTTTATGAATTTAATCATTCAAATAAGATAAACTTATTATCTTACCATTTTGCAGTTCAAAAATAAAGTGGGTCTCTTTAGGCTAAAATCCAAATTTTATTAGGGTCATATGCCTTCCTGGAATATGCCATTTTTAACAACCCGGTGATATCATCAGGCCCACACAGATAGTTCAGAACAATTTCATAGTTAAGGTGAGATGATTAATAACCTTAATTCTCTCTGTAAACGTATTGTTCTTTGTAAGTAAACTGACAGGTCCCTGAGATTAGGCCAAAGACATCTGGGATGGAGGGTGTTACTCACCCTACCCTTTTTCAGGGTTTTTTTTTTTTTGCCAGATCATTATTTCTTCAGCATACATTTTTCTTAACATAACCCTTCAAAATTTTATATCAGAATGTTTGGAACTTTGTATCTTAGGATATGAAGATTCAGGGGGAGGACATTTTTCAGATTTTGAGAAACTTCTGAATCTTTGTGTTAGGCTGAGTGGCATTGCTGCTGGTGGTGGGTATGAAATGAAGAAAGTGCTTTATTCCTTCCCAGGGAACATGGGCACTGCTGCTGATTGTAAAATGAACTAGATGATGTACCAAAAGAAAAAAAAGGAAAAATTAAAGTTCCAGACTTCAGTGCAAACTTCCATAATTTAGGCTCTTTCTTCATAGTTTTGATGTTTAGCATAATCATCAACTCACAACTTTATATACATCATTAGATGTATGTGGAGGTCTGTCCAGAAAATATTCAGTCATGTAATATGAAAAATAGAGTACTGAAGAAGATACAAGACACAGGAAACATTGTACATAAGACAATGATGCTTCAGTCCCCTTTAAAGTTATGACCTTCTTGCGGAAATCCGGTTCATTGGTAGAGGTTTGGATCAAGTCATTAGCAGCTGTAGCATGATGTTTATTCTGCTCTGGTAACAGAAGATGCTGAGCGAATTTTGCCATGACGTGTTTCATGCCAAGATCCTGCATCAGCATCTCAAATCGATGAAATCCACCCTTCACAGGACATTACCTTTTGTTCTCTCCTCTTGCTGGAATTCCCCAGTGCCTCCCACAAATACAATATATCCTCACTTAATATCATGGTTAGGTTCTTGAAACTGTAACTTTAAGTGACATGACATATAACAAAACCCATTTTTTCCACAAGCTGATTGATGAAAACAGAAGTTTCTAGAGCATATTTCTGGTCAGAAAAGTCACCGACTTCAAAATGAAGACCAAAAAAAGTTGTAATATTAAACACTGAAATAAATGTGAGCTATACACACATTTAAGAACGACTAAAAAAAATGGAAAGATTATTATTTTCCAACCTGCCTATTCCAGTTCCATATTGTAGTGGTCGGAGCCTTTCCCAGAGCTCTGGGCATAAAGTGAAACCCAACCCTGGACAGGACGCCCTTCCAATGCAAGGTTCAATCACACCTACACTCATGCTTTGTCAGACTGGGGCAATTTATACACACAATGTACCTAACATATATATGTTTGGGTTGTGGGAGTGAACCAGAGTAAGTGGAGGAAACCCACTTAGACAGAGGGAGAAGTGCCAGCTTTACGTAGACAGTGGCCCTGGCCAGGAATTGATTCTTTTTTCTTATCAACATTACAACAAAACAGCATTGAATGAAATGACATTACTCAAGGACCTGCTGTACCAATAAGGCTATTAGTTCTGTAAAATACAATATGAACAGAACTACTTTAAAATGGAGCAGGAGCTGCCGTCCCAGAAGAATGGCCTTGCGCATAAAATGACTCAAATTTTTGGACTGGGCTTAAAAACAGGACTGGGGTCCAAAGAGCAAAGATAACAAGAGAGCAGATATTAGAACTACCACACTAATGACTACCAGACTGAGAATTAAAAACACCGTTTTAAATCAGTGCCACTATGTAACTTTATCTGCACCAGTAGAAATACCTTTCTTCTATTGATGGAATTATTTCCCTTCCCATTCCCATAAATGCTCCTTGCTTTGTCTGTTAATGAGAACATTATTTGGGCTTCTACCTGAATAAGTGCTTTTACTCAAATAGCGGTTTTTGTTTTTGTTTCATCTCAAATAAACACTTGTTGCCTCACATATTGGCTTTTTTTTTAGGTTAACCATTCACCAGCTGGTCTCTGTACCCGGAGATCTAGGAGAGACTGAAGAAAGATGCAGACCACTCCAGGCCGGTAGGTGCCAGGCTTTCTAAGTAAGGGAACTTACAAGGACTGACTTCAGTGGCAGCAAGACTGTTTTCACTCCTTCCTACGAGAATCTGAAAAGCGTGTACAGGGGTTCAGACACATTTCAGTCCAAATGGTCTCAACAGCACCTTACTTTCTCAAGGCTGCATCCCAGAAATGGACTCCCACGGTGGAACAGTGGGTAACACACACATTCCAAGGACAGGAGGAGGTGAGGCACCTCCGATTGCCCGAGTCCAGATCCACCGGAAGTCTCATGCTGTGGATCACTTCCTTCAGTAAGGGCTTTTTCCATCATGTTTTTGTTCTTTCTGAGCCTTTCTATCCAAGAAAAAAATAGATAAAGTATACAGTTAAGTGTCTAAAAATCTCTCATTTGCTTGTGATGTATTTTTAACACACTATATATCTGTGCCTTTAGTAAGTGCTATTTATCTCTCTCATTTTTTACTTTTCTGTTTAAGGTAACTAGAAGAGGCAGACTCTCATTATGGTGAAGAACAGAGATGCTGAGGTAAGAATGCCCGAATTGAATTTGGCTTCTCGATTTCTGCTGATTAATAGTTGTGACACCTTGGACAGACTACTTTTACTCTGTACATTCGTTTGATTATCTGAAAAATAAAAACAGTAAAATACCTAGCCCCTAATGTTATTAAAAAATAAATGAGTTAAAACATATAAATCACTTAGAGCAATACCTGGCAAGTAAACTTTCAGTGGTTCTGTATCCACCAAGAATTTTGACTGAAGGGAATCACAGTCATGCATCAGATTTGAATTAACTAACGTTGAGTTGATTTACATCTATGTGACTTCATGGTAATTCCTTAAATTCTGTGAGCCTGATTTTCCACATTCAAATGTGGAGGTGGAGTCACTCTCTCTGTTTACCTATCAAACTGGTCATGAACAACAACTTTCAGAAAACCGTACACGTCTATCATTACACTAAACATTAGTTTTACTTTGATAGATATGTATTTTGTTTCATAGGAATAAGAATGACTACTGTGAAGCTCAGACATACTACACTTAGTAACATTAGTCACTTTTGGCAAATGCAACATTGCATGCGCAAAGCTTTGTTGACTACCACACAGGAGTGAAAACCTCAAGGAATACACAATCTAATTGGGCTGGTGAGACATATGCACAGTGAAGGAATACAACTGCAGGTACAAATAATAGGTACCAATGGGAATGCAGCTTTAAGCATTTGCATAGAAGAAACATTTTATTCATTGGATATTAAATATAGTGACTGGACAATTAACCCCTAATCTTCAAAAGAATTAATATATTTAATAAATAACTGAATAAGTTTTGAAACCATAAATATTGTAGGCAATCCAAGGAGGGGCAGATTGTTTGTCCTTTGATTTTTCAGGAAAGTTTCATGTTAGACATTTAATTTCACCTACACTATAAAAGATAGGGTTAAATTGTTTGAAAACAATCTATCAGCCTGGGAGAATATGAACCAAACAAAGAAATTAGGAAAAAGACTTTATTAAGAGATCACTAGAGGAATAGAGAGGTGGTGATTTACAGAGAAAAAAGCATTGGTGTCAGAAAATTGTGTTTTTATCCTTGTGGTGTAAGTTGGGTCAACTTGAACATGTGGCTTGACCTCTGAGTCAAAGAGTCAATGAAGCTAAAGAGCAGTGACTGACAATTCCTATGTCATACAGCTAATGGGAAGAGCTAGTAAAATACTATGTGAACAGAGATTGTGAATTGTGATGCTCAAAACACTTTTATATTTTCAAAAAGTAAATCCCTAAAACTACATATATGGAATTATGACATAAAAAGTTTGATTTGGACCAGATTTAATCAATGTAAATTATAAGTATTTCAGAAAATTGTTTTTTAAATAAAAATATGGTTGAACTACTTTTGTTGTTTTTGTTTAAGAATAACTAATATAACAGAAAATTCTGGAAGAATTAACTGTGGTATAATACTTGAGTAAAAAGATCAATGAAATAGTCCTGTTGGTAATTCTGGTGTGAAATGACAAATAGCCATGGTGTTATTAGGCATGATGAATTTGTTAAATATGTAAGGAATAACAGTATATGGTATTTCAATCCTGCTTTGTATATAAAGATTGAGGAAACTGGATATTACTTAAACATGGTGACGTGGTACATGAGTGACTGAGAAAGTAGAAACTAGGCGGCCGATATTTTGAGAGTTGAGGGTATGGTCAAGTAAGATGTTTTAGAAAATTTAAGTTAGACAACAGAAACCTTCAAGGAAATAACAAGCAGTTCCTAGAATGAGGGAAAGTCAGGCCTCAGTCCTTCCAATAAAATACTGAGGGTGTTCGTCAAAACATAACTTAGACTGAACACCATCTAGAAACTTCATATAGGAAGTGCTCTTCTCACTTACCTGTTTTCCTCTCATGACCCTGGTCGCATTTGTCCTTAGGAAATTACTCTTTTCCCCTGATCACGATAGTGACAGACAGATCCTTTTTCCGTATTTCCCATGAGGTTGTTTACATTTTGTCACAGATCCAATAAATAAAACTGATAAATATTAATTATGGGAGATTTTGGAGTAGCTCTGTTTGATCGCCACCAAGAGAAATAGCAACAAAGAATCAAAGGCATCCGGGGTACAATTGAATGAATCAACTCAGTTTGGTATATCACAGAATAAAACCAAGGCTCTTTGACAATTAACAGGGAGAGCTATAACATTACAATGCACACTATGATCAAACAAAGCATATTGTATAATCAGTCAAATATTACAATATGACTATCAAAATATGCACCAGGTTCTAAGCAAGTACAAGGTTTCTCCAAATGAAATTTGGCAATTTCAGATGATTTGTTGCCTTTTTCTTGTCTTTTTTTAAAGCCTATTTTTCAAATTGACAATATAGATTTCGAAAATGGAAAAACCAAAGAACGACAATAACAAAAACTTCAAACATTTATTAAATTACAAATGCCTATAATATTGAAACCCCCAAATCTTTCTGGCTTTCTGTATGTGGCTGTATAGCTGCTGTTTCCTTCACAAAATCATCTGAAAAATCAGCTTCCAACATGTTACTGAGTGAAATCTTGACATTATTATGGGCCTTAAACTGCAGTTTTTACAAAGAAATACCCTCTAAATTCTTAGAGTGCATTAATAGAAAAGAGAAAAAGTTGTGTCTTTAGGCAAAAGAGAAAAATATCAATGCTTTTTTGTAATTGAAACCTTAATAATGATGATAATTACAAAATAATGGTAATTTAATACTCATTTGAACGAGGACTTACAAAAATAATAAGTAGTAAAATCCATTTACAATGGTATTTTAAAATTATGCAAATCAAGGTTCACGAAACTTCTTAAGGTCATTTTGTTTAATTTAATAATAAAGTAGTTTGTTCAACAAAAATAAAATTGTTCACACACACTGCTTAAGATTTTGAAAAGAATTTGAACATTTTATTATTTGTTATACATTTGTTACCCCAGACAGCAAATCAGACAAAGATTAATGTACAAGCAGTGTACTGGGCAGTGCACTTGGGATCAGTGGGAAATAAGAAAAGAGAAGAAAGAAAGACCTGCAAGGTTTCCAGGAATTCACTGGGTCTGAAGCTGGGATGTCCCCCCAGAGTTTTTCCTAAGATAGTTATGGAGTAGGACCATTTTTTTCCTTAGTTAAACAGTCATTGAATATGGGCCTTTCTGGAAAAAGGAATGACTGTTAGCAATGTGGTTTTCTTCTGCCAAGGCCATGTGCAGGGGAGCTGATCACTGAGTGCTGTCTGCTAGCTGCACTCACAGCAGATGGGGATATGCCTTCATCATGAAGAAGGCACCAAGCAGGTGCATCTCAGCATTCACCAAAGTCCCTCTCTTGCTGACGGGGATAGAAAATGTTCTATAAGTTGTGGGAGCAGTTTCTCTTGGCAGAGTTGGGGGAAGACCTTTTTCCCTTGAAGAAACTTATAAAAGAAATGGAGCCAACTACAGCTCTGAGGCTGCAGCTCGTCACGATAACTGGTATCTGTGTTCCCTCCTCTTCCTTACATTGCAGAGGTGACTCTTGTAGGCTGGCTCCTTGGCGTGTGGAATCAGAAGGATGTAGCTAATGGAACTTCTGTGTGCTCTCCTTCCGGGTCCAGAGCCACGAACGTCACATAGCACACATTTGCAGGGTCCACTCTTACTTTTAACCCTGGATGCTTTGATATAGTTAATCTGCCTGCCAGGGACACTCCGTTTTTCCTCATTAACATGTATTCTGAGCCCAGGAGAAGGGCCTTCAGCCTCATAAGGCTTTGCCTCGTGAGTGGGTTCTGTCTGTGCCTTGAACAGGCTGCTCCATCATTATAACAGGCCAGCATCTTCTGAGTTATACAACATATAAAGTTGCCCAGTAGATCCCATGAAATTATAACCACTGCCACTCAACCTTTGTTTTGCTAGTTCCATGATTTAAGATGAGGTGATGCAGGCTTATGTGCAAGTGAGTCAAAAAATCGGCTAAGACCTTGAATAATGGGGTTGCTTGAGTTTTGTGATAAGAAAAGCCCAAACCATGTGTAAATATGCGTGTGTGCCTGCCAAAATTTCTCGTTGCTACTGTTGGGAAGCAACAGATCCAACATAGTCAATTTACCATCAAGTAGCTATTGGTAACCTCAAGCAATGCATCTCTATCAGGACTATAGTATGGGCTCTGTTTGTAGCATGTGGGACACTTGGCCACAGCAAGTAGCTACATTAGCTTTGATAAATGGAGCCTATGCTGTTTGGGCTGTGCCCAACATTTGTCCATGCCATTGTGGCTACTACTTTAGTTTTTGTTCATCAAGGTCTGCTTCTATTGCCACCCCTGGATTCTGGGACACAGGCATTTTAATTTTACTGACAGGTAAAAAGCCTGATGATTGAATGTTGGTGAAGTCAAATGTCTGAGGAATTTTGACTATCTGGTTATTTAATTCATCTCCATGGTAGATGCTCTTTGGTGGTGGTACAATACAAAGATCTTCACATACTGTTCAAATTCTTTTTTTTTTATTTTTACCTGAGGACATGTTTACTGATTTTGGAGCAAAGGAATGGGAGAGGAAGAGAGAGGGGTAGAAACATTGATGTGAGAGAGAAACATTGATCACTTGCTTCTCATATACACTCCAACCAGAGACTGAACCCACAGCCTAGGTTGCGCCCTGAGTGAGAGTCGAACCGGTGACCTTTCAGTTTCTGAGATGACACTCCAACCAGCTGAGCCACACCAGCCAGAGCTTGCGTTGTTCTACTTTCATATGTATAGTTACATGCTTCTTCTCCAGAGAGCTGATTTTTCTAGTCATTTTCACCCAGGCCTCATAATTAGATAACCATGCCATTATGTCACTGCTCTTGAATCTATTTACATATATTCAAATTTTGTTTCATTTTCTCACAAAACAGATATGACAAATGACTGTTCAGAACTCTGCACTTTAAGAGACATGTGTCCCTCCACTGTCTTTTAGGGCCACACTTGTTTGGGGCTGTGGTGTAAACATGAGGAGTTTACAGCTTGCACTCACATACAGACCTGACTCATTTGCACACCAAGCTCGGGCTTTTCCTGTATCTGTTATCTCACCAAAAGTGCTAATTGAGGAAGGAATGTTGGTGCAAATAATCTGGGCAACTAGGCTACCTGCTCATTCATCTTGCTTGTTCTTTCTAGGCCTGCCCATGCGCACTCCTGGGTGTACCATTTCCTTTTAGGACCTATGACCATGGAATTTATTGACTTTACAATTCATTGGATATAAAATAAATCAGCAATAGAAAGTCAAGTGTAGCCTCATCTCATGGTCATGTGTCCACTATGGTCAGTTTTCCACCTCTGTCAGAGCCTAAGTGCTGTTTTCCAAAGAAATAGCTTTCTCCACTGAAAGTGGCTGGACCTTCCTCGAGAACCCTAAGGGTTGTTCTTGTGATCCATCTGCCAGAACTGGCCTTAAACTCCACGTGGTGCTTTTCCCATCATTTATAGTTGTGATACCACAGGAGTTGCTTACATCTCATCACTGTCTTGATGTGAGCTTCCTCAAAGTTGGAATCCTTTCATGTCACATGTTTATGGTATGGTCAGGTTCTAGATGTGTAATATGACCCCCTCAAAGAAAGGAAATATATTCTGTAATGTGTCTACTTTTGTTGTGGGTATTTTGTCAGGGACATCCCAACATGTCCCAGACTACTGAAGCTTTAAGTATTTTTCAGATATGCCAGGCCACAGTCCTCCTGCAGTCTGTCTCCCACCTGCTGAAGCACACGTGACTTATTAAGAACTCTCACATACTAGTCGTTCATTACTCATCTGGACCAATCAGTATGATGCCATTGGCAGAGTGGGTTAATGTGCTGTTCTGTAGGATGTCTAGGCTGCCTAAGTCTCTTTGGACTATTATTACAGAGGATGGAAGAGATAACACACTCCTGGGGCATCCAAGTGAGTATAAACTTTCTCTGGATCTTTTTTCTTCTTCTAACTGGAAAAGACATGCACATTCACACACACATGCCTCATCCATGTAACAAAGGCCATGTTAGTCTATTCTGGCAAAGACATCGTATCTGTCATAGCCGATACAATTTGATCAAAATGCTTGTTGGTCACTCTCATCTTCTAAATTTATCTTGTTTTTGCAGACTCCAGATTGCCAAATCAAATAGTGGGAACCCCTCTCCTGCATCTTTCTTGTTTCCAAGGATGATACCAAATGCTGCCATTCCCCTTGGGATGCAATCTTATTGTGATTTACTATCTTGCTCTGGGCAGAGGATGTTTCAGAAACTTCCAAATGGTCTTTCTTACCATAACTGACTTTCTTTCATAGGCCAAGAAACCAATACATCAGTTGTTCTAATTTCCAAATAGATCTGTTCCAGTTCTCCATTTGGAGAACAGCAAAATGCACAGAGAGTGATCCCACTGACCCACTGTGAAATGGATCTGGGTCAAGACTATGTTTATAATCTGAGCCCCATGAGCCACCATTCTAAGGGGGGATGCAGCTTTGCATCTTAAGATATCGATTTCAATTCCAATCATGTGTCCAAATATCTCTGATGCACTTTAGTATTCCCTTTCCTTGGTGTATGGTTACCCAAATAAATGGCCAGATGGCCACGGGTCTATTTGAAAAAGGATACATAGTGGTGTTGCACCTTTTAATAGAATTCTCCTAGATTCTCCTTCAGTCAATGCATAGTTTTGAGAACTGAAGAAGGTATCACATTTTTAATTGGAGTGCCTGCTCTTAGCCTTCTGATCCCTTTATTTCTTTTAAAGGCACGGATATAACTGGAGCCTTGTTGGCTTTGCATCTATTTTTCCTGTAGGCATACCATGATTTTTAACCATCTCCATCTCTGTCTGTGTGTCAGTGCCTCTACTATGACTGTCACCATGTCTTTGCCACCCATTCACAGTAATTTCATCCTGGCATCTAATGGCTAAGCAGTATGACCCAGTCTCACACAGTGCAGTTCTGTAATGACAGCAAACACTCTCGTCCCTGGCCAAATGGAAAGAGCCACCATTGAATTTAGTATTGATGATGATGGTACTCCTTTTCCAGTCCATTACTAAATGCTATTTTAAGTGTTGCATTATGTGGGCCCTCCTCTTGTGGTTTTTCCACTCTTACATAGTATATTCAGTCTTTCAAGCCCAGTTCTCTGATTTTTTTAATGCCTTCTTCCACTTATGTGCCTTAGAGATTCTGGTACTACTATCTCACCAAGAATAAACCATAGCTTTTTAGCGGCCATTTGAGAAGTATGCTTGCACCATCTTCTAGTCCTTATAGAGTGCTATATCATATATATCCCAATTTGATAGACTTTCTCTTCTTTAACTTATGTTTCATCACCCCTGGTATTAAAAATAAAGCTCTATGTATGTTCTACCAGCCTGGGTTGTTATAGGATGTATATATCCTGCAAGTCCTTAGGTCAAGAGTTGTCTTCTTTCCTAATCAAATTCAACACATCAGCAGTCACATTGCATTGTGACTTAACTCTAGTTATTGTACTTATGGCCAGAAGAGGACCTTGAAAGAACTTGTTGTAATGCAGAAGAGAGAACCCTCTAATATCTCCAACAAGTTGGGGAAGACATAAATCCTAAAGAGTAAAGGGTAGGCCACTGCTGTATACTCAAAGAATTTAATTGGACTTGAGGATTTAAATTTTGTGATGCATCAACCCAGATGTCCCTATCCAATTTAACAGAGCCACATTCCTTTTCCCCTCTGAGCCCTGATCTTAGCACATTGAATCTGCCAGATTTGTTGGTGTTCTGATACATTTATGCCTCAGTCCTGAACCTTGTCTACAGTTTTACATGTCCTTCTGCAGTACAAAATGAAGGCCTCTATTTGTATTCCTAAGGAAACCTTTTGAATCTTCTACTTTAGTATTTGCCAATTTATGACTTCCAGTGTTTACTTATTGCATTCCAAAGCATTAGCTCAGCTAAGGAACAGCAACCCTATTTCATTACCCTTTTACTTAAAATTTGCCAGTATTTCCAAATCCCTGCCGTATCATGCCCAGTAGTACATTCTTTTCTGCTGGTGACCCATCCCATCTCCTACCAACAAGAGATTTAACAGTTGAACCAATGTCTTAAGCTAAAAGCCATTTGTATCTTACTTGCATTCAGTAACAGAGTTCTTACTACAATATGGATGGCGGTTGACCCTGCTTCAAACTAAGTATGAACTTATTTGCAGAATCACCTCTCCTACATTGGATTTCACTCTAAACAAGCTCTGATAGAGATATCAGCAAAGAGGAATCACAACTTATGCAAATAAAAAGGAAGTATAACTAAAAAGAGAAACAAGCTGGGCTATACTATAGTCTCAATGGAGACCTCAGCTGAGCTTATAGAGAACTCTGACTCTAGGGTGGTCTTTCAGATTTGTTCTGCGCTGTGATCATTCATTGGATGCAAGCCTCTTTAGAAAGGAGATGGCTTTAGGAGACCATGTACTTCTCAGCCACAATAATTGTGAAGAGGGTTAACAACTGACACTGTCTGGCCAGTAGCACTCCCAGCAGCAGTGGAGGCACTAGGTCTCTGAGTCCAGAAGGGAGATTTGCATAAAACATCCCAATGCAAACTACAATTCAAATTGCCAATACTGTTGTTATGCTCTTTAATTAGGATTAATCACAGGTTGCAATGATCAGAGTTTAATAAAGTTACCTTTTTTCTTTGTTTTCACTCCATCAAAGTCATCACTCCTCAACCTTCTAAATGTGGCTTCTGCCCCAAGTATTTGCCCTGACTTATTTTTGCATAGGGTGGCTAAAATAATTAAATGAAGTTGTGCCTTGCAAGATGACAGCTAAGTAGGACGTGTGTAGGGGGTGGAGAGACAGAACAACAACAAAAAAGGACTCATGGACATGGGCAGTGTGGCGCTAAGGGAGAGGAGGATGTAAGGGGACTAAATGGTAATGGAAAAAATACAATAAAGATTAAATTTTTAAAAATCACATTGAAAGTTTTAAGGACATGTATATTTTGCTATTTGCCTTTAACTGTATTTGTTCACATTCTTGCTCTGCTTGATTTTTTGCATACGACATTTTATATCTAATCTAATAAAATGTATGTTTTTGTTTACACAATTTTAGTTAGTTTGAAAGGGGCTTTGATGACTTAAAAATAATTCTCTTCTTCCAAGTGGACTTTAAGATCCATAAATAAAGTCATCATTAATTTCTTTTCATTCTGGTAATTGCTGACAATAAAAATGAGGGCACTGATTTTACTTTCATGTGCGTGAAGCACTTCTGTCTTTGATTAGGAATCTGAATCTTCTGTTTGACCCACAGGAATCACCTTAAGTGGTGTACTTAGCATATTTAACACCTGGAGCAGATCATTTTTTAATTCCATTCTTCTCTATATAACAAAATTATCTTAGTAATGACAGTGACACAAAATAAATCATAATAATCAGTACAAAAATGCTGGCAGAGAAATGTATTGTTGAAATTTATATGCATAATTATTACATTAAAATTAAAATATATGATACAAATTATAAACTTTAAAAATTATATTAGTGTATTTTTTGACATTAGAAAATAAATATATGTCTCTATGTTAATTTGTAATAGTAATGAATAATAATTACACTATCTATTTTTGAACTGTAATTCTGGAAATTTGTCAATGAATTCATCAAAATTGATATTCTTCACATAATTACATTTGATAGTGTGAATCTAGCTTTACTCATAGTTGTTTAAACAATTTTTTAATCAATTTTCTTTCAGAAAGTTTCCCTCTCATGAAGGAACAAGTATACAAATGACTTGAAAAAGTCTTAAACATAAAGGTAAGTTTGGCAGAAATTCATAAATATCCTAATTTACAGTGAATTTTAGAAATGGCAATTCTAAATCTTTGTTTCTTCATGATTAATTATAGCAGGAGACAAAAAAGAATAAAAAAAGAAAAAAGTAAACAATAAACACTTCAAGTTGTCACAGAGAGTGACAGAAGGTAATTTTTTTCTTTACCTATTAAATCGCCAGGTTATCATGGTTTATTTTGAATTAACTGTTTAATACCTGAAAAATACAGTACCAGGAGAGTTGGAGGCAAACTTTATTTCCAAGGTAACTGCAAATAATCCCAAATCTTAATGCATTTAGTTTCAAAATAAGTGCACATATTTGAGTCTATGTTTGTTGGGGGCAAACAGTATGCATGGTTTAATTTCCATATTAAATATATTAATAGAGAATAAATAATGAAATATGCTCAGTTGAAAATTGCATGTATATGTAAACATACACATGTATTTAGAACTTAACAATCACTGCAGCACTTGCTTGGAGGTGCATTTTATCACTGACATAGTTTAGAATTGCCGGAACACATTGATAATAAAAAGCCAGCCAGTTTTAATTGGTTTTATTATTGTTTCTAAATTTCCCAGTTTATTGCTAGTGTCCACCCTTGTAATGCTGTTGATGACATTACTCCTCTTACCACATTTTGATAACTCTGCTGCCGCTACCTTTAGGAGTGAGAACACAAGGCGGATTTTTAAAAAATGTAATAGCGTGTCCTTAATTGATTACAAATACACAAAACCAAAACCAAAATTCTGGCTCCTTAAAAAAACAATGTATTCCCTAATAATTCCATGACACTCTTTTTAAAAAAGAAGGTTAGGATCACTGAATAAAAATAAAAATTCTGAGGTCTGAGGACTCTATGCAAACATTTGGAATTCAAATTCCTGTGGTGGGTGCTGAAATTCTAATTAAAAAAGATAGCTGAAAGACAAGAAAGAGAAAACATTATGGCTGAGCATGTAATATATTTTCTCTCTTCATAAAGCCTTCTGAATCTGGGAGTCAGCTGATTCTTCCTTCTTGAAACAATTTCTTTACCTAGTTTGTGTTATCACTGCTCTGCCTTATCCTTTCTCTGTTCAATGACTTCTCCTTCTGGACTCCTCTGCTGGTTCCTCCTCCTTTACAGTCTATTTAATAGAAAGAATGCTTGGTGTCTCAGTTTTGGGATCTCTCTTTCCTAGGTGATCACATTAAAACCTAGTATATTTATCTCCATGAATGTCTCTACACTGATTCTCACACTCATTTAAACAAGTGTGCTCTTGCTTGTATATTAAGCATCTCAAACTTAATATATCAAAAACAAAACCATTGATTTTTTCTAATTAAGCATATTTTATCTGCCGTCTTCCCACTTTCATAAATGATCCCCACTCCTGTTGCTTATGGCCCAGAAATTTGGCATTATCCTTTATGTCTTCCTTCTCTTAATCTTGAATATTGACCCGATAATCAAATTCTGTCTTCAATAGCTTAATGTGTAGTAAACCAATAATTTTTCACTCTATCTTTCCTATCATTCCAGTTTAAGCCATATTTTTTTTGGACTTTGGCAATAGCTTCTACTTTCCTCCATTAATCCATTGTATGTAGAGAATGGTCTTAAAAATGTAAACCTGCTATATGAAACCTCTGCCTAAAACCTTCTACTTGCCTCATTTTGCCATCAAAACAACCTTCTCAGCATGGGCTATGGAATCCATCGTGATCTAGTCCTGCTCATCCTTCATCCTCAAATTGTTTAACAGTCTCCCCCTTCTACTAAGCTCTAGACACACGGGTCTACCTGCACTGCCAACGTCAGGCTCATTCCATTTTCAGATATTTTTCTTGCTCTTTTCTGTGCCTGGAATGTTTTTCTTCTAAGTCTCTTCAAGGATGGCTCTCATCATCATTTAGAACTCAGCTCAGTTGTCACTTCTTTGAAGAGATCTCCACTAGTCATCGTAGCCGGAGTAGGTCTGCTCTGGTTCCAGGCATTCTCTGTCTGTCACAATGCTCTGTGTTTGGTCTGACCACTATGTGAAATGTGCTCATTTTTCTGTTTGTTTATTCACGTACCATCATTGCCTTCTCATACACGCCCAAAACACATTTTTGCAGCTCCACGAAAGGAGTGATTTTTGCTTCACTATACCTTACTATAATTTTAAAGCCCCTTTCTGCCCCTCACTCTCTCTTCTTACAGGAAAGAAGAATGACTTACCTGAAACGTGTTTTGGAAAGAGGAACAGAGGTTGTCTGGCAGTAGCTGCAAAAAGAAGTCGGGGCTCAGGGACATGTATGTGTGTGGATTCTGTCTCTGGCTCTTTCAATTTAAAGCAGACATTTTCCCCACATTCCCAGGCAATTTTTACACAGCAATTTATAATTCACTCCTTTACTCAAAAGTCAGCACACAAATCTTCATGTGTTAAGCTTCCCTTTACTTTGAACTGTAAATCAGCTGCTGTAAGAAACATCTTTATAGGAACTTAATGTGTTTTTTTATTATTATGCTAACAGCGTCTAAACACCATGCTTTGAATCTTTCAAAGGTCTTAGCAAAGGTGTCCTACAATCACATACTTGGTATAATCTTCAACCTGAAAGGATATTTTTACTGGCAACACTGAAGCCACTTCTTACATTAAGAAAGATTTGCTAAATGGAGAGGCTGAGGATCAAAACAAATTTTATTTTACAACCCAGCAAGATCTTGGTTGAAAATACTTTCTCTAAATAAATCCTGAAACCCCAACAAAAGTCCTGGACTGGGTGGCTTCACATGTGAATTTTATCAAACAGTCAAAGAACTACCACCAATCTCAAAATATCCCAAAACATTCAAGGGTTTGGAAGACTCCCAAGCTCATTTTATGAGGCCTGTATTATCATAGTTCTAAAACCAGAACGAAACACTGCAAAGAAAGAAACCTATAGACCAATATCCCTGATGAACTTAAGTGATAAAATCTTCACCAAAATATTAGCAAACCAATTCAGCAATGCCTCATACCATGAGCAATTAAATTTACCCCAGAGATACAAGATTGGCACAATAGCCACAAGTCAGTGAGTGTAATACACTACATAAACAGAATAAACTTGAGACACGTGGTCATAGACTAAGGGGGGAATGGTTGGGGAGGGGTGTGCAGGGTGGAGGGGAATGAAGGGGGGAAATAGAACTGTAATGGCATAATCAATAAAATATATTAAAAAAAGAAAATAAGCAAAGGATAACAAAAAAAGAATAAAAACCAAATGATCATATGAACAGATGCAGAAAAAGCATTTGATAAAACCCAGCACCCATTTATAAGAAACTCTCAGCAAAGTGGGAATAGAGGAGATATAACAGAATATAATAAAGACTACAAATGACAAACCCACAGTGAAAATCATACAGAAAAAATAAAAAATAGAACTGCCTTAGGACCTGGCAATTTCATTTCTGGAAATTTATTGGAAGAAACCTGAAATACCAATTGGAAAAATATATGCACCCCTATGTTCATTGCAGCATTATTTGTAATAGCCAAGATTTGGAAAGCATCCAAGTGTCCATCACAGATGAATAGGTCAAAACTCTGGTGTATTTACATAATGGAATACCAGTCAGCCATAAAAACAAGGGAATCTTACCATTTCTGACATCACGGATTTACCAGGAGGGCAATATGCCAAGTAAAATAATCCAGACAGAAAAAGACAAATACCAAGTGATTTCATTCACTTGTAGAATCTAATGAACAAAAACTAACAACCAAAATAGAAATGGACTCATTGATAGAGAACCAACTGACAGTTGTCAGACGGGAGGGTGGTGTGCAGGGGGAGGCTGGATGGAACAGGTGAAGGGAGTAAAAAAAAAATAAATGAGAAAGTTTAAAATAATACCTAGAATTTAAATATTTCCTGATTTCAGTACATTACTTTTCCATAATTCCTTATCATTATAATAAATAAATGACATTTTATTATCATTTGTTTTATTTTTTATTAATACTTTCAATATTCTTCCACAGTTTAAGTAGCTTTTTTTCTACTTGTCAAGACTATAAAGAATTTTCTCACTAATCTTCAGATTGCATTTCCTCGCTGCCTTTCCAGCTTTCACCTATGACTACATCCCCACTTCCCATGTTCCATGACTTAGGATTTTGTTATAGCACCACATTCCACCTCAAGTAATATAGTTATAAGCTGCCATAAAGAGAATTACACTTTTAGGCCAAAATAAAATTTTTAAAAAACTGTCTATCACCAATATTTTACTTAATTATCCCAACAATTTAAAGAGTAAATTTTGCTACACTGCCTAAATTGTCTGAGGCAACCTGCCTATCTGATTCTAAGGCTGAGTATCACAAACTCCAGAAGTCTCTATAGGCAAGAAAGCTGACATTTTGTTCTTTACCTTTTCTTGTTGTTCCATTGCCATTTTTCCCTCCATTGAAAAACATGTTGTAGTCAAGTTACAAGAGCAAATGTAAGTCTTCATTCTCAACCATTTTTGTTGTGCCCTAGTCATTGAGCACCCCCTCGCCAGTCTAGAGACACTTCTTGCTCTTAGAAAATTTCTTTCCCCAGAGGAGAGAACAATAAGTTCTAAACATCCCCTAATGGCCAGTAACAAAACTGCCCGCTGCCTGGCCCTGAATGGTGCCAGGACCTTCCTGGGGCTTAGGGGATCCCCCTATCATTGTGCAGAAGTCCGTGGTGTCAGAATCTTTATAAGTTCCCAAGCTCCGACTGAAAGTAGACCACACTCGGAGAACAGCTTGGCAGTGATTTCAGATTTGTTGTGTGCTGGCAAGAGAAGCTTCACATGAAGAATACGCCATTTGTAATCTGCTTGTGCATTCGTTCTGAGTTCTAAGTTGTTCTTTCAGCACCCTTGTCTCAGATGGTGTGATATGATGTGGAATCAGTGCTCTGGGGATGAAAATTCCTAAGTGTCTTAGGGCTTCAGAAATATAGTTTCTGTCTCAGGGCTACACAAGGCCCCAAAGGTGTCCAGCTTCTCCCTCCCTTTTCTGAGGGACTCTGGTGAACAGAGGTAGCATGGCGTTGAGTCCTGAAGACTCGGGGCCTGTCACATTATCTGCTGTGTGGCTGGGGCAAGGCCTGTGGTCTCAGGGAGCCTGTATCACTGATTAAATTAAAGCCAAGATTCTGCTTTTTCCCTCTGCCAGGGAATGTGTGTGAAATCTTGAGTGAGTCTTACTCCACCTTTTCTCAGAGGGAAATTGCAAACCAACCCAACATCCAGCAAGAGGCTCTCTAGGCTGTGCTTTCACTAGGGGAGGAAGTGACTTGGGGAAAGATGAAAAGATGCCATTGCAGACCAGGGTCTCATAAGCCAGGCTAGGAGATGAAATCCAGGTTCCCTTGTGTCAGAGGTGCTCAGTGAGATGGCTTTTAAGTAATACAGTTAGACTTTTTTCTTTTCTTTTTGTTTTGGATTGTCAAGAGAATTCTCAGAACAGTTAGAGAATTAACCAAAGGGAAGGAATCTAGTGTTGGGAAGACCTGTCTGGAGACTGAACAGATGTAAAAAGATCAAAGGTGGCAAGACTCAGCAATGCTGTGGAGATGAGCAGGAGGCAGCCCTCAGAGCCATTTAGAAGGAGCACCCCTGGGAGCTGGGGCAGAGCTGGGACACAGACCTGTCCGCGGCACCCTTTCCTTCTCTCCCCTCTGCCAGCGCCCCATTCAGTTTTCTGTTCTCACGTTTTCTTCATTATTGAAATTGGCCCTGGAAATGATCTGATAAATTAGGTCATACTAGCAGTCAAATAGGAATGACAGATAGAAATTCAGATATTTGCATTTAATAAGAACAAAGTCTTACACTTGACAACATTAAGTCCTAAAGACACACTTGGGGTGCACCTGCCAGTTTGTTGGTAACTGAGAGGGCCACAGTGACCCAGAAACCAGTGCAGATACTGGTCTTTTTTACATCAATTTTTATTGTTATTCTACTACAGTTGTCCCAATTTTCCCCCTTTCTCCTCCTGAGCCCATCCCACCTCCTGCTCCCAAAGTCAGTCCCCACACTGTTGTCCTCGGGTCATCCATACGTGTTCTTTGTCTAGTCCCGTCCCCTCCCTACCATCGCCTGCTTTGCCCCTCCTCTCTGGTCACTGTCAGCCTGTTCCATGTCTCCAAGCCTGCGGCTCTATTTTGCTCATTAGTTTATTGTTCACCAAGTGTTCTGTTCCTTCACTGTTTAAACAAAAATCACCTGGTTTCCTACCAGGCCTGGGTGTGAAGACAGGTGGAAGCTTTCCAGGATGCAACTGTTTAAGTTCTTTTTTTCCCCACGGTTATAATATTTGGCCCTTTATTTTATTTGTATCACCCACTCACCATCTAGCTGCCCCATTTAGTTTGCCCTGCCTAAAATTAATTGAGAAATTAAGTACATCATTTATTAGTCCTCTTAAACCCCAACTTGAGCCTCATATTTTTCTCATTATATATATCTAACACACATAACTGTGACTGGAATATAGTAAGCTTTAATAAACATTTATAAAATGAGGGAATTCTAAATGCACAGTAAAAATGTGAAAACCCCATAGAGACATCAACTAAATTGAATATCTATAGCCTAGAAAAGACATTATTTTCAAAGCTTGCTCTTTGATTTTCTCTGAAAATAAAGGGTGTCATCTAAAAACAAATAAATCACTATACAAAATAAATTATATCATCAATGATATACAAACCATGGTATATTTGTATGAATCTATACTTATAATACATTTCAACATGTATTCAGTGGAACCTTATAATTAAGAAGTATAGCTCTCTACAAATCAGGGCAAGATACAAAATCTAGCAGAGACTCCATTGCTGCTCTTTTAGCAGCAGGAACTGCTAATTATCACTTCAAAACATAACAATTAGAAGCCACACTAGTTTGAAAGTGAAAAATTGTATTTCTGCCAGAACAGCAATAGAATGTTACCCTTGGTTTACCCTTCCATATCATAAAAAATGTACTAGTCCTTCTTTTTTTCTTTTAGGATGATCTACAATAGCAAAATCAAACATATGTGTGCACTAAAATAACAGTCCAATCATCTGATTAGTTTGACTTTGATGTAATCAAAAGGGTTTGGGTGTGGCCCTGACCCAGTCAGGTAAAACTATTAAAAGAGTGTTTGTTTCTTTCCTGAGATTAGAGACATGTTCCTTGGGACTTTGAAGAAGCAAGTATGATGAGTTCTATGGCTCCCAGAAAATAAGTTGTGTCAATGACCACCCGAACTTTTATGAGGACCCTGGACTTCAGAAAGGAACATGGATTGGAGTATCATGACCAAAAAGATGGGGCTGTTATGGAAGACCCCAGTCTCCATCCCTGTACAAAGATCAAAAATTAGACAACGACCACAAACAAAAAGCTCTGAGAGAGTTCTGGAGTCCACTTAAGAAACTTCAGCAATACAGTGGAACAAAACAGCTGAGAATAACTACAAAAAAAAAGAGAAGAAAGATGGTTTTATTTTGTCTCCATCATTCTATCCCTCTAGCCAGCATTTCTCAGTGCCAAGAAGAAATCCCAAGCTAGAGTTTTTTAAAGTAAGCCAGCCTTTCAAGGCACTGCACAAAATCCCACTTTGGTTATAGCCCACTCAGACTGGTAAAGCTGAAACACAGAGACAGTTATGAAAATTAAAGTAAAACAGAGGTTATTAATAGATGCTACATAGCTGAAGCTGTCAGTTTGCAATGAACTTCTCTGCAGAAAACTCAATATATTTCACCACTGAACAAACCAATGGCCAGCACAGCTACTGCATACCTGCTGCCGATTACACCTGTTATTATCCTATAGATATTTGCTTTTTTGACACCAGTCATTGAGTCTTTTTCTGCCTCGTTCCCCACTCCTCCATCCTACCTAAGCTTGGGAAATACACCAACATCACTGAAGTCTAAGAAGGAGAAAAGAGGAAGAAAGGAGTAGATTTGCAAATATTTTCTCCTATTCTATAGGTTGCTGTTCATTTTGTTGACTTGATTTGTTTTGTTTTGTTTTGTTTTTGCCTGTGTAGAAGCATTTTAATCTGCTATAGTCTAACTAATTTTTGCTTTCCTTGCTTGTGCTTTTGGTATTATATCCCAAAGAGCATTGTCAATACCAAGGTCAAGGAGCTTTTTCCTAGTTTTCTTATTGAAGTTTTAAGGTAACAGTTTATGTTTAACTTTAATCCATTTTGAATTAATTTTAGTAAGTGGCATGAGTTAGGGAGCAATTTGATTATTCCACTTGTGGTTGTACAGTTTTCCAACATAATTTATCAAAGGGACTACTGTCCTTTCTACATTGAGTGTCCTTGAATCTATTGTCAAATACTAATTAACTTTATGTGCAAGAGATTGTGTCTGAGCTCTTGATTCTGTTTCACTGGCCTATGATAGCTTCATTTTAGGTCAGTGATATACGGTTTTGATTAATATACCTTTGTAGTGGAGTTTGAAACAGGAAGCATGGTCCTTATAGCATATAGGGGTTGATTTTGAAAATATAAAAATAACTCATAAAACACAATAACAAAATACAAAATAAAACAAAACAAAAATCCAATTTAAAATGAGCATATAAACTGAATCATCATTTTTCCAAAGAAGCTTTACAAATAGCCAACAAATACATAAAAATGCTGTTCAAAATCTCTAATCATCAGGGAAATGCAAATCAAAACCACAATGACATATCTAAGACCTCATACTTGTTAGAATATCATTTAAAAAGACAGGGAATAACAAGTATTGATAACAATGTACAGAAAAATGAATATTTGTTTACTATTGGTAGAAAAGTGAGTTGGTATAGCTACAATGGTAAAAATTTTTGAAGTTCATCAAAACTTTATAAAAGAACTACCACATGATCTGGCAATACCTCTACTGGTAGATATTAAAATGACATGAAAATAGGATCTTGAAGATTATATGTGTGTGTGTGTGTGTGCACGCTCTAATGCACATCACGGCCTTTTTCACAATGGCCAGGACATAGACACAACCTAAGTGTCCATAACTGGATAAAGATGTGGTAGAAACACAGAATGGATTATCACTGAGCCATGAGAAAGAAAGACATCCTGCCACTTGAGACAATATGGATCAACACTGAGGGCACTATGATTACGGTAAGTGAGGTAAGGCAGATAGAGAAAGACAAATACCACACAATATCACTTATATGTGGAATGTAAAAAAATGAGCTGAATTCATAGAAACAGAGAATAAAATGGTAGTTTTCAGAGGCTAGAGAATGAAGTGAATGGAGAGATGCTGGTCAAAGTTATAAGGTGAATAATTTCTGAATATCTAATGTAAAGAACAGTTGTATAGTCCATCACATACTAGAAAGTTAAGAGAGTAGATCTTAAATGTTCTCACTGCAAAAAATAAATGCTAATTACATAACATGTGGTAGACATTAGCTGAGACTATGGTTTCAATCATTTTGCAGTATGTTAAGTGTATCAAACCAACATGTCATGCATCCTAAACTTACACAATATTACATATTGATTCTATTCCAGTAACAAAAGAAAAGAAAGAGACAGAGCATGGCCTCTACCTTAGATTTTAGATTTAGGAGACTCTAGAGGTGGACATGGCTCAACTATCCCAGACTCCTGAACATGGAAACAATGAGATACCAAATACGTGTTGTTTAAAACACTATCAGTGACACTTTGTTATGTACCAGTAGAAACCCACTATCACCTGAATGAAGGTGAAAAGGGCAAATTAGATTTTTACATTGAACATTTAATGTGCAGACAAATCACTTGGGAGGAATGACCTGTAAGTATGTAAAATGAAGATTTTGATTAAGGAAATACTGAGTGGGGTTATACATTCTCACCTAATGTTGATACTGCTGGTGCACAGAACACACTTGGAGTAGCAAGGACTTAGACTGTACAACAAATTCAAACCATACCATTAAAACAATTCTGGCTTGTGGTACTCTGTGTATCTACGAGGGAGTATTTGTAGCTGAATATAAGTCCAAAACAAGCTGTAAAAGCTTTTGTTAAAATATAGGGGAATAAAAGTTTGTATATACTAAGTTTGAAAGCAAAAGTGAGGAATGTATTGAAGGAGAATGATTCTACTGAAAAAAAAATAGGCAGAGTAAAGCTGTTTCATTTGAATGTAAACCTTAATTCTTTCTAACCAATCAAACAATATTTTCATCAAAATAGAATAATATTTTTCTGGCTCTGAAATTTTAATCTGTAAGTTGCATAGAACTAATTTTGTTCTGTGGTATAAATTAGAGTTCTGATTATTTTCATTGATTAAATTGATTAAGTTAATCATCAGATCTCATAGGCATATACTCTGATGGATCTAATTTAGATTAGACAGTCCCTAAAGAATATATTCATACACACCATGGTTCTAGCATCCCGTGTCTCTGTCTTTTCCAATCAACACAGCTACAAAGAGTAGTCTCTACATATGAGGACTGGGATGAACCCAGGTTATCAAACCAAGCTGGACATGGCCAAGGAGTAAGCATCCTTGGTCCAGCCCCATAGTGCCCTTCTAGTACATTTTGGAAAAAGCCTGTAGACATACAGGAGATGTCTGACTTTTCTTGAAGACTGAGACTCCCACCTGTGTTCATAAAGTAATTTTCCTCCCTATTTTCCTAGTATCTTATTGCATCAGTTATTTCAAACCTTGTCTACATGTTATGCTCCACCTCTTTAAAAAAAACTTATTTGTTTCCCAATATGTATAAATATGCTGTACCACTCTGAAAGAAAACAAAATCTTTCACTAGATCTTTAGTCTTCTCTCCTGCTTTCACCACATCTTTCACAGTCCCTTCACTCACTGCCAGCCCCCGGGGTGAGGATAAAGAGAAAGACTTTGCGATCTGTTACCACTTTCTTATTTTGCTAACATTTATTTTATCATATCAAGTAAGAGTTTATATTTCCTCTTCTGATATTCTATATATGTTTAAATGTACCTACCTACCACGGCCTCCATGGATTTCTGACTCAGCATTTTCTTGTTCTCATAAATATCTCTACCAACAGATTTTAAAATTCTTAAGAGTAAGAATAATTATTCATGTTAATGTTACCACTACCCAACATTTAGTTCAGTGCTTCTGACAAGGTCAACACATCAAATACTTTAGGAAAAATGATTTTATAAACATATTTTCTGTATGTGTAATATATGTGTTTACACCTGCTGAATTTTGATAAATTGGACATATTTTAATAGTCAGCTCCCAGACTGAGAGACAAAATATTGCCAACATAGCAGAAGCTCCCTAGCTCTATTTTCTAGTGCAAATTCATTCCTTTATTGGTAATAACTATTCAGATAGTAGTAGCATAGATTATATTCAACCTGTTTTATAACATACAAAATGACAATATATCATCTGTATTCTTGTATCTGACTTCTTTTATTCAATATTTGTTTGTGAGATTCATTCATGTTGCTTATAGTTTTAAGTTATTCATAGGTCAATATATCACAGAGCATTTAATTAACTATTGACAGACACCTAAGCATTTTCTTGTTTGGGGCAATAAAGAATATTGCTGCTATAAAAAAATTTCGCATATGACTTTTTATTTAAAATATGTTAATTTATGTTAGATGTATACTTAGAAAATGAATTGTTAGATTATAGTGTGTCTCTATATTGTTTTAATAGACAAAGCCAAATATTTTCTAAAGTGATTACAACATAAAAGTTACAACACACATTCTTAACTTCTTAGAGTCTAATACACATTATTTTTTTCATTTTCCCAATAACAGTAGGGCTTTAAATCTTTAAACTCCATTTACTTATTTCTCATATTTCAAGTTATTATTAGCATGCATATTAGTTCTACAGATATTTCAAACTGCATACGTTAGCTTTCTGTGCTGTGTATCAAACTGTCATACATCTAATGGCTTAAAACAAAACATATTTGTTAACCCACACTTTTCAAGGCTTGTGTCTCAAGACACAGCTGAGCTGAGGCACCTGCTCAGTCTCACAAGGCTGCAGTGAAGGTGTCGGGCAACTGTGTTCCCATGCAGAGGCTCAAATAAGGGAGAACCCATTTCCAATCTTACATAGTTGGCGAAATGCATTTTCTTGTGGCAGGACTCAGAGTCCCAGCTCCTTGCTCACTGGAGAAAGGAGATCAACCACTGTTAGCTCCTAGAAGATTCTCTAAACTCCTAGAGCCTGACTGCAGTTCTAGAGACTGGCTGCTGTTTTTTTCACATGTCCTTCCTCATCATGATTGCTTACTTCACTGAGCCAACCAGAAGAGTCCATCAGGGGTGTCAAACTCATTTTCACTGGGGGCCACATCAGCTTTGTGGTTGCCTTTGAAGGGCCAAATGTAATTTTAGGACTGTATAAATGTAACTACTCCTTAACTAGGGGTGAGGAGCTTGGCACTACTGCCAGGTAGAAACAAGGTGCCAGGTGAATATAACAAGATGGAGGGGGGATTTGCCCTGCGGGCTTTGTGTTGGCCACCTGTGCCTTTAAGAGAAAGCATGCTGAGAAGGCGGAGTCTTATGGAACATAGTGTGATCTTTACAGTAATGCCCATATCTTTGCCAGATCTTGTTGTTCATAAGTGAGTCAAAGATCCTACTCCACAGTGAAGGGCATAATATAGAGACATGAATACAAAAATAGGAGAATTTTTTAAGGGTCTCCGTAGGATCTGACATACTACAGAAGATAACAAATATTGTTTTGCATACTCCATGGTCAATTTTACATACCCACGAAGTTACCTTTTGTACATTTTTCTATTTCCATACTTCTCGGTTTTATTATTTTCTTCTTTTTTAAAGATTTTATTTATTTATTTTTTAGAGAGGGGAAGGAAGTGAGAAAGAGAAGTAGAGAAGCATCAATGTGTGGTTGCCTCTCACATGTGCCCTGCTGGGGACCTGGCCCACAGCCCAGGCATGTGCCCTGACTGGGAATCAAAGTGGTGGCCCTTTGATTTGATTCACAGGCCAGCACTCAATCCACTGAGCCACACCACCAATGTGGTTTTATTATTTTCTTTCAGGAGAATTACTTTTTATTATTTATTTTAATTGTTTTTGTTTGTTTCTAGCTTAGGTGTTTTTACTTTATAAATTTTTCTCAATATTTTTTCAAAATTATTTTTATTCTCTATTTTAAGGGTATTTTTTGCTATAGTATAAAAATGGCAGTTATTTTCTTTCTGCAATTTAAAGATGTCGTTCCAACCTTCAGGATTCCATTGTTTTGCCCCAAATGTCAGCTTTCATTAGAATCATTATTCCTTTGAGTGTAATACAACTTTTTCAGTGACTACTTTTTAAACTTTTACTGAATATACTTTATGTTCTGTTCTACGGTCTCATTACTTTTACTCTTTCTGTTTCAGTTTGTGCATTCCAAATTTGATATTCATGTGTTGTGTTTTATCCATTCTACTGTTAAACCCATTTATTATTTCAGATGCTACATGTTTTATATCCATAATATATGATCCAGTTGATTTTATTTCAGTTACTTGATAAAAATATCTATTATTTTGTCTACTTTCCAATTTTCTTCCTTATTTTTAAACATATTAATAACTGTTATTTGAAAGTAGTTATATGCTCACTTTCATATCTAGGTAAAATCGGGGCCTATGTATATTGCTTGCTTTTCTATTATTGATTGTAGATCATATCTGTTGCCTTTTCTCATGCCTAGTAAATTCAAATTGCATTCCAGCAATATGAAAGAAAAAATGCCAAAGGCTCCATATGGCTGTCTGTCCTTTCAGAGGTTTTCTGCTCCCTTTTTTAGTCATATAGATTGAGAGACCACTTAATCAAATCCTGTCAGAAACTAATCTGGAATGAGACTGTGCAATTTTAGTAAGATTAAGTTTACCTATGGTATCCTTCTGTTTTTGCTTGGGTTCTGGAGCTAGACTGACTGGGTCATGATATCTTCCTACCTTTTCCTAGATATATGGTTACAGGGAAACATAGTCATTGAATTTTCTATTACTCAGTGCCTTCGCCTAGATAACAGTAATAATAATATTTATAACACATTTTGCTTTATGTACTACAAAGCTCAATAAAATAAATGAAAAGACTTAGAACAGTGTCTGGCACACAATAATTATATTAAAAATAATAGGTTATTTGTTATTACCTAGACAGTTTTTCATATAAACTAATTTATAGATATATAATCACAGTTAGCAGAATCAACTTTGACTTTATCACACTTAAAGTTATAGAGAAATATAAGTATTGATTAGATTTAAAAATAAATGAAACATTATTTGATCAGATGTTATCAAATTGTGCAATTATGGTAACTGTTTTTGTAGCTTAACCTCCCATTATATCTAAAAAGGAAAACTCTTATTTTCCTGAAATAGGGGAGATGTGTCAAATGTCTATCAGGAAAAATACTACATTTTTTAGTACCTCACGGACATATAAGCAGGTAAATTTTCACATAGAAACCACTAAGCGGAGCTACCTAGAAAACTTTTAGATGGATACAATCTGGGTGTGTACAATATGTATTCTGTTTTGCTTGTCCTTTTTTTTCCCTGATGGAAGCCAGCATAACGGCTGGAGGTGAAGCAGCAATCTTGCAACCACAGGTTGAAAATCATTAGAACAAAAATTTTGTTCCAAGAATGTCTTAAGAGAGAGAGTGCCTAATCACCTGTTGACAATTCTAGACTGTCTGTGGTATCTCTATGTACATCTACACATTGCTTGTGGGAAAAACAAAATTATATGGTTTAGTTATTGTAAAGCTGGTTTTCATTGTATTCAAACAGAAATTGGAGAAAAGAAATTTCTCAGAGTTTGAAATCCATTAGAAGCTGAATGCAAAAATGAATTCTTATAAAGAAAGCTTACAAACGACAAATTTGGCCTGTTGGATTCTTCTTTCTCACTTGTCTTTCATAAGCTCCACTATTTCTATAAACAATTATTTAAATATTATATATCTCATATTTGTGATAATAGATCACATAGGTGTCCACGCACTCAGTTATTATTTTGCTCAAATATCCCAGAAATACAAAGAAAACTTGATTGTTCACCCAGATGACAAATTAAAAAAGTATTTATATGTCTTTAAGTAATAATTCTTAATTACTTTTATATTTCCTTAGGCTTATTTAAAATACATTTTATAAGTTGTAAGCTTTGCTTCTTGAG